TCGGTTCTACAATGGGCACGTCGGACGTGGTCGTCTGACTTGCCGTGCTGACGTCACCCATGCTATTCAAATGGGTGACGTCAGCACGGTACGTTAGACGACCACGTCCGACGTGCCCATTGTAGAACCGACTTAACCGTACCTCACAACGCCGTAGGACTACGACAACAGAGAGGCGACATAAAGTGATTAAAAGTCTGAGAGATTGGGTAATCAAATTTTCTGGAAATGGCAAACAAGATCCAGAAGAGTTCCTGAATAGAGTTGAGGACTGTCAGCTATCTACGGCAATAACAGACGAAGAGTTGTTGCAGGCCATTCCTAGCGTATTGAGAAGCAATGCAAGTAGTTGGTATCGCACCATTCGCAACGATGTTTTGACGTGGGAAGAATTTCGAGAGGCGTTCCAACATGAATTTTCCAGCGAAGGTGATGACTTGGAAATTATGGAGGAATTAAGAAGTCGCACTCAGGCAAAAGGAGAAAAGATCACAGCATATTTGACTAACCTCAAAATTATTATGGGTGATCTCCAGAAGCCTCTTGCTCGTGATCTTCAATATAGGATCGCGTAAAATGGTCTCACTCCTGAATATCGTCACATGTTGATAGATTCGAAGTCGAATTCACTACCTCAAATAGAGCGAGTATTAAGAGAATTCGAAAAAGCGAAGGCGGCGGATCTACGATACACACCACCACTGTCCAAGGAAAAAATGAAATTTCCCTCAGCAGCGGCAATTGTTCCTGGAAAAAGTGCCAAAGTGGAGGCGTTAAAAGAAGAACAAGCGGAAAGTGAATCAAGTTCCAGCGTCAAATCAACGAAAAGTGTGAAAAAGGGAGAAAATAAGAAAAAGAAGAGTAAAAAGAAAAATAAAGAAAAAAGTGAAAAAGTGGATGCACTTAAAACACAAGCACCAGCGACACCAAATGTTCCGAATCCACCGCAGCCTTCAGCACCAGCGTTCGCTCCTGTTATGATGGGAACGAATCAGACATTACCTCAACAGCAGAATCATTCAGTGTTGAGAAATGGTCCAAATAATGGAGCAAATCAAAAGGGTCCTGAACTGTCCTGGTCCCCTCACCACTACACCGGGGCAACCAGCATAGACACCACGAGCAACGTAAAAGTGGAGAAATTTGTGAGTGCAGATGTACCAGCGTGTAGAAGTCAGAGTGAAGGGGATTAACTCTCAGTGCAAGTAGGAGAGAAAGGTGTCATGACAACCAGCGTACAGAGTGGAAGGGATCCATTCTCAGTCACGAGCGAAGGTGTTTCGAAGCGAGAAACAACTATGAGTAAGGCGAGCTCACTCTCACAGAAAGATAAAGGAGTAGTGGAGAGGGAAAAATTGAGTGAGACGGACTTACTCACACCCAAGAGCAGAAGAGGAGAGGTGTTAGCCAGCGTACCGAATGGAGGGGATCCATGCAACCAATTTTTGTCAAGAGAAAGTAAAGGTGCAATTAGGAAAATAAAATTTAGTGAGATTTTCTCTGATTGTGAAGATAAGAGTGTTAAAATTTTTGAGAATAAATTGAGTTTAGAGAAAAAAGCGGATTGTGTTGAGAGTCGTTGGGGACAAAAATGTCTCTCACCTGATTTTGCAGTGAATGATTTACCGAATTCTGATCAATCGGCAAATAATATTCAAATTACCAACGATCGGTCTGATCGTAATTCAATCCAAGGGGGGAGAAAGCTGTTATGAAAACAGCTGAGCCCACCATGGATGACGGAGCGAGGACTGAAAACAGATATTTCTTAAAATTAGTCATCGCTGATCAACCCTATCTAGCGTTACTTGATCCTGGGGCAATGATCTCGGTGGTAGGCCCTAAACTAGCGGAGAAATTTAAATCGAAGCTTCAATCAACCGACACAATGATACAGAGTGCTATCGGTGGTTCTACAAATACTCTGAAAAAATTGAAATTGTGGTTAACCGTCGATGGTGTCTCTCAGCCATTCAAGTTAAGGGCGATCGATTCATTGACTCAGGAAGTAATTTTAGGAGTTGATTTTTGTCGAGCGTTCGACATGGATATGCAACTTGGAAAGGGTTTGTGGAGAGTGAACAGCAAAGAGTGGCATGAGTTTGCCAAAAATATGAACCAGCGTAGTGACAGTAACATTTTTGCAGAGTGTGCAGGAATTTCTGAAATAACAAGTTATCAGCGTGAACAAATTCAACAGTTAGTCAAGAATTTGATAATACCACCGTCGAAAGAGCATGGTATGACAACGCTCACAGAACATCACATTGTTGTTTCCAATTCATCACCAGTCAAACAACGACCGAGAAGAATGGCTTCTGCAATTTTGGATTGGTTAATAAAGGAAATTAAAAGACTGTTGGACATGGGAATAATCGAGCGTTCAGTCAGCGAGTGGAGCAGTGCTCCAGTTGTTGCTCTGAAAAGTGATGGGTCTTATAGGTTGTGGTTCGATTATAGAGATTTGAATAAAGTAACGATTCATTATGCTTATCCAATTCCCAGCATCGATTCTATACTCGATAAGCTTAGAAAGGCGCGTTTTATTTCGAAAATCAACCTTAAACTAGCGTATCACCAAGTTCCTTTGTCCCCTGAAAGTAAAAAGTTCACGGCATTTTCAATTCCTGGATTTGGACTTTTTCATTTCAAGCGTTTACCTTTCGGTTTAACCAACGGCCCGAGTACTTTCCAGCGTTTGATTGACTCGCTCTTTGGTCCAGAATTCGATCCTCATGTATTCGGATATTTGGACGACATTATCATCATCAGCAAAACCTTCGAAGATCATCTACATTGGTTAGAAGTGGTGTTAAAAAAATTGCCAAATGCAAAATTAGAGATCAATCCCGATAAATGTGAGTTCGGCTGTTCTCGAGTTGCATATTTAGGTTACGTTCTTGACAACGAAGGACTAAGAACTGGCCCTGACAAGATTTTACCAGTGTTAAATTATCCAGCGCCAAGAAATGTTAAAGAAGTGAGAAGATTTCTTGGGATGGTAGGGTGGTATTCGAGGTTCATTGAGAAGGATAGTGAAATGAAGTTACCACTATTGAACCTTCTTAAAAAGAGCCAGCGTTGGGAGTGGGGTGAGGAACAAGAAAATGCGTTTAATCTCCTGAAATCAAAATTGACGTCAGCACCAGTGTTAGCACGCCCTGATTTCAGTAAACCATTTACTGTTCAGTGCGATGCAAGCAATTCAGCGTTAGGCGCAATGCTCACACAAACGACCGAGGATGGAGAGCATCCTATCGCTTATGTTAGCCGAGTACTCACATCGCACGAGAAAAATTACAGCGTCACCGAGAGGGAGTGTCTAGCGTTATTATGGTCGGTGAAGAAGAAATTTCGTCCTTATCTGAAGGGTTCCATATTTTGTGTAATTACGGACCACAGTGCTTTGAAGTGGTTGCGTAATTTAAAGGAGCCCACTGGTCGTCTTGCGCGTTGGTCATTGGAACTCCAACAGTGGAATTTTAAAGTGATTCATCGAAAGGGCACGCTGCATCAAGTTCCAGATGCTCTTTCGCGAATAGTCGAGCAAGACGAAGAGGAAGAAATTGCTGCTTTCGAGACGATAAATGATCCGTGGTATCTGAAACGTCGTGAAATGGTCAGGAGTCACCCCCAGCGTTTTCCGGGTTGGAAATTAGAGAACGAGATGTTATACCGATCAAGAATCGATCCGCTCTTGACACCAGTCACCGGAAATGTGGAAATTTAGAAATTGGTTGTTCCCTTAGAGCACCGTGAGGAAATACTTACCGTGGCGCATGCTGAATTCTCGGCTGGTCACCTCGGAGTGGATAAAACCTACGATAGAGTGGCGAGGGAATATTACTGGCAGGGTGTTTGGCATGACGTTCACAATTTCGTCACGCAGTGCCCTGACTGCCAGTTTCATAAGGTCTCTCAGCTGGGACCACAAGGATTGATGGGAGAGAGAATTGTTGAACGACCTTGGTTTGTAGTGGCTGCCTTGTGGTCTTTCAAGATCTTTTCTCTCGCTGGGTGGAGTTGAAACCTATACGTTCAGCGAACTTCAAGTCAATTGCCAAAGCGTTTGAGGAGCTCATTCTTTTCCGGTGCGAAACTCCAGAGTTCCTTCTCACCGACAATGGAAAAGAGTTCGACAACCGTCACTTGAAGGAGGTGCTGAAGGAGTGCGGAGTAAAGCACATAACCACACCACCGTACCATCCTCAAGCGAACCCGGTTGAGAGGTCAAACCGAACGTTGAAAACAATGATCTCAACTTTCATCGACTCTGATCATCGGAATTAGGATTTACACCTGCATTAATTGAGACATGCTATGAATATCGCCACACAAGCGTCAACAAAGGTATCACCAGCGTTTCTCAATTATGGTCGCCATTCAAAACCAGTCAAGAGTCTTCGGCGAGCAGTAGAAAATCCAACTTCAGTCGTGAGAATTGATCCAGCGTTGTAGACTGATCGTATGAAACGATTGCATGGACTTCGAGATATGGTTGCAAGAGTTGTCAATCAAGAGAGGACCAAACAAGCAGCGTATTACAATCGAGGAAGGAAAAATGTTACATTTAATGTTGGAGACTTGGTGCTTTGGAGGACTCACAAATTGTCCAGCGGTATTCGTAAATTTGCAACGAAACTGGATCCAAAATTCGAAGGTCCTTTCGAAATTATTCAAATATTATCTCCTACCGTCTATGTGTTAGGCACGAATGATAATAGGCGAATTCCCAAGGTGCACGTCTCAGAACTAAAACGTTACATTCCACCCCGAAATGTTAACAAGGATTGAATTTTACATTGATCAAGTATTTTATTTTTTTTCTTATAATTGATTTTTTTTTGGGTGACATTAATTTTTTTTTATTTTTCCAGCGTTACTAGCGTTAAATTGAATAATAAATTTGTGAAGTTTGATTTTTATATTTTGTCTCTAAATTTATTTATTTTGTTTTGTCTCTAGCGTTTGATTTTTGTTTATTTGTGGATTTGTTTCAGAAAATGTTGGGATCTAAAAAGAAGATGCCAGCGAGGTCTCGAGGACGTGGTTTCTCTAGACCAAGAACCAACTCACCGGAGCGTCGTCCAGGAAAACATGAACAAGTTCCAATTGAGGAAAATGTTTCGGACACAAGGGGTCAAGCCAGCGACGATCTGATCCAATGGAAAGATGTCCCACCGCCTCCAGCCGTGGTACCTTTCCGCCACCATCACAGCATGGTGGCCGTTGCGGGACGAGGTCGTACTTTCCAGTGACATCTGTCGAGAGCGACTACGAGACGAACAAAACAAGGCGTTCCGAGTCATTCGATTGATCACTCCTCCTGGACCTCCAAACCGGAGAGCAGAAGAGAGTTCATTTCCGTTGGAACTTGCGAGTCTGGAAATTTCAACGAGAGGCCAACTCCCAATCATCACGAGAGGAGTTATGTTCGGAAACCTCAAACCTATTCCCACCGATCCTTACGTCGGATACTGTAGGAATTGCGGCAGACGAGGAGTGACTCTGACGACTTGCCCACGTTGTTCCGAGAGACATTTGGCAGATATAGCCAAACAATATGGAAAGGGAAAATATGAGTCCTTCAGATCGGAGCGAATCGCCAAGGTACAGGAAACAAGAGGTCGAAAAACTGTGACTCTCACCAGCGACTCATCGAGCGGAGCAACCTCGTCATTACCTGAAAGAGGAGGAACAATTGAGGGACGGAAACGCCCATCAATCATCATTTCTGAACCTTCGACATCTGATGGAAGATCCCAGCGTCCAAATAACGTAGAAGTCTCTAAGGATAAGATTAGAAGAGTGGAGGTAGAAAGCGAGAATCACACAGAGGAACAGAAGGGGAAAGGCACAGACAAATTAAACAACAATGTGATTCCCAAAGTCGATGAAGTCTGGAACCAACTTCAAAATCTGCCCACATTTCAACCTTCAAGGGTGGTAGATTTGGAACCACCAACTTCATCTACAACAGTTTCATTGATTCCCCTGAATTTTACCTCACCACCACCAGCGTTACCAAGGTTAGAGGACCATCAACAAATTCCTGCGGATGTGAGACCGATGTCAGCCGGAGACCAAGCGGATCGTTTCGTGGAGCAGACAAGGGAGCTCGCTCAGGCGCTACGTGGATTGCCGGTCGAGGCAATAATGTTGGCGATGCGAAAATTTTTCGAGGAAAGACGTCGCACAAATCATTGACTGTGGAGTGATTAGTGAGAGTGTGATGGTTTAATTTTTTTTGTTTTAGTTCCTGCGTTTTTCTTTCTTTTTGGTGTTAAATTGATTTTTTTATAGAAACATTTAAGCCTAAGTTATTATTTTTCTTTTGTGATTCAGGGCGGTACTACGGGCTAGTACCGGCCAAAGGGGGGGAATTGTGACAAAGTGGTTTGTCACTGGCGATTATAAATTGTGATTTTATTGTAGCGCCCTATATAGTTCCGTCCCTGCGATAAAAATGGACGTTTCCGATCGATATTTGAATTATTCATTATTATTATTTGGAAATATTGTTTAATTTTGAATTCTTTCTTATGAAAATTTATTTTGTTTAGAGTAATTAATATCTAGTTTAAAGTTTATTTTATATGCTAACGAGTATTATTAATTGTTTTTAATTTTGGTTTGTGTGTTGATTTTTCATTTCCGTTTTGAGTCAACATGTGCTTGCTGTATGAAAAAGGCTGACAGAATGCGGAGAACGCCGTGACAGAAGTTTGTGTGTTACGCCGTTACTATTTGCAAGAATATATTGAGATTGAGAGTTATAATTTTGTCAGAGAGCAGAAGCGACGTAATTTCGAGAACGAAAAAGCATCCTCGAATTTGTTATTTCGATCGGTGCGTGATTTTCAGTTGAGTAGAAAGAAAGTTGATTTCTTTGGTGTTTAATTGGCGAGTTGAAAAATTTGTGAGATAGTGACTGGTGGATTTGTATTTCGAAGTTTCTTTCATTGAACTGGCGAGAACATTTACAATAAAGTGACTGTAAATTGTCAACGAAAGTGAAACGAATAGAGAATAGAACCAGCGTTGAATTATTGATAATAAATATTGTTTCTTGGATATTCCGGCGTTAACTTAATTCATCCTTTATCAACAATTGGTGAGTTAACCTAAAATTTTTGCGTTTAATAATTGTGTTTCATGCCATGTGCTTTCAATGGCGGTCTTAAAAGAATTTCACCCTAATCATTAGAGTCTCATTTTTTTATTGGTTGTCGATTTAGTAATTGAGTAATAAATTATTTTGTTAATTTCATAATTTGATAAATAAGAAAATTAACTGGCGCTCAACTGAGCATTTTTTTAGTAAATTTTATTTGTGAGAGACATGAGAAATTTAATTGCTGACTTGACTGAAAGCGTATTTGACTAATTAAAATTTAAATAGCAAATAGAGTCTAAGGAAATTATCGTTGATTTATTTAAAGTAAAATTCTAGTTTTATTAAATTAAATTTAATTGTTGATTTCTCTTGGTCACACATGCCATCACTTTTTATTCATACAGTAGGATCTTTCAATAGTGCAGTCGTCGGGAATATTGTGCACTGTTCGAAGCGTGCAAAAACTAAAACATTCAGGTCCGTGTCAAGAAAATTAAGGGTTCCCCACTACTAAATACCGGGCACCACTAAATGATACTAAATAATCAAATGAGCGACGGCACTGTATTTGACGTCACAGATTCCCTTTCCCTTTAACCCCCGAAACCCCTTGTCTACTCAACTCACTAATGACTGCACTGTTCAGAACTGCACTATTGAAAGATCCTACTGTATCTCGTAAATAAAAGGAGATACAAAAAAACTTAAATACGGTTAGAAAGCTGATTAAATTTTGCGTAAAATAAGCCATATTTAAAGTCAGTTCGTTAACTATTTTTTGAGTTGTATAGAGTGAAAAAGAAAACAAAAAAATTATCAAATATTCTCATTTTGGTCTCTTGACTTACTCTTTTTTAAAACTCTAGAAAAATGTAGATAAAATTTTTTTAAACACACAGAAATTTTCGTTAGATTTTAAGCTTTAAAATAAGCCTTCGAAAATTAAAAAATTGTTATCCGTCATCGATTTATTATTAAAAATGTGAAGCCGTGTTGTGACCGATCGGTGCATTGAAATTCAACTATGACGACTCGATTCTTCGTGCGGCTGCGAATGGAGAGAAAGCAGGGACGGATATATAGTCCAGGATCCCGTGTACATTTTTCCCATTGATTACTAACAAGCTAATTTTTTGTGAGTAGCTTCATTTTTATGAGACGCTCAACTTTTTTCCTTACAAAAACTCTCCATTGTGGTAGCTAACAGGGGTAGGAGGGATAAAATATGTCGATTTGATAAGTCTCAAAAATGTATTACTAACTGTCAGTATTTGTATTAAATCTTAGGCGAATTAGGAGAATTATTAAAAAAATTTGTTGTCCTACAAATATTATAGTTTGATGAAAGAGTCCCCCCCCCTTCCAACATGTATCAATAATGAGGTCATTAAAAATGATTACTAACCAGCTGATTTTTTAAATGTTTATTCCTTAATATTGATATAATTTAAAAGTCACATTGTCCTACAAATTACGTGGTAGATTATGTCGGTCCTACGGTCCTACAGTACATTGTGCTTGTTGTCAAGAGAGGAAGAAAAAACAATAACAAAACAAAACTCAAGTAGAAGCGCATTGTTTATATACATGTAGTATAGAATAGTGTCGACCATAACAGTGCATTAGCAATTTCTGAGCGTAGGACCGACATAACCTACCACGTAATTTGTAGGACAATGTGACTTTCAAATTATATCAATATTAAGGAATGAACATTTAAAAAATCAGCTGGTTAGTAATCAGAAAAAATGAACTATTATAAAACCTTTATGGTAACTCAATTTAAAAAAATTTTTCTTCTAATTAAACTACTTTATAATAATAGTATAATACATTATAAGGGCAGAAAGTTCGAATTTCCTGCACTGCGCGAAATGATGCCCTCGGCTTCGCCTCGGGCATCATCGCGTATAGTTTGGGGCTTTCGAATTTCTGCCCGTGTAATGTAATTTTCAATAGCATTTTTATGTTGGTACAAAATTAATTTTATGTTTCTAAAATTCTAAACGTTCTAATGAACAAAATTTCATCATTTCTTCAAATTATTAAAATTTTATTAAAACATTGTGGCACAAATTAAAAAAGATATTACAAAATTTTTAATTATTTTATTTTAGTTTTTAATGTTTATTAAAATAATTTTTGGAAATAATTATGTCAGGAAAAGATTTCGTTCATTTCAATATGAAACAGTCTACTGTTTATTCATTGCCTTTTTGAAATTATTGAACGTGCTTAACAATATTCAATACCCTGTTGAAAGTAGAAAGATATAGAAGTAGATAAAAACTGATGGATAAAAATGGATAAAAGTTTTCTATCCTTTAAAAATTATCTTTTTCTATCCAGAATTTTCTATCTATTTAAATCCATCCCAAAGAAACATTTTTTTATCATTTTATATCTTTTAATTTCTATCTATATAGATCGACGCCTCCCGTTCATAAAATGCTTATTGAAAAGACAAAACAAGACGATGCTTATTGAGAATTGCGTGCAATATCATTCCTATCAAAATTTCCGTGCAAGACAATGCCTATTCAAAATCCGTGTAAGACAAAGCTTACTGAAGCTAGCGGACAATATGATGCTTATTCAAATTTTAATTCAAGATTATTCTTCTTAACCAAAATTTTCTGAAAAATTATGCTTACTGAATATAATTTCTACTTGAACATTGCTTGGAATCATATAAATAATATATACAATATTTTCTGTTCAAAATTGTAAGATTATAACTACAAATAAAGTTTTATTAATAATTAAATAATAGTGATAGAAAAAACGTAAAACTTGAACACTTATATAATTTGTTTTTTAACCTCTTCAGGAACAGATTTTTCATACTATATAAAGCAGATTCTTTATTTAGTATTATCAGTTGTTACCTTCTATTATATTGATAATTATAAATCTGAAATCAAAATTAAAAAAAGTTTTATTGAAAGACCGATATGTCAAAAAAATATTACAAAACTTATTGAGTTTTATTGAGGTTATCTACTAGTTATAAAATGTAAATTCTTATTTTTATTTACTGAAAATACAACTAAAAATTCATAATAAATAATCCATATCGAATTACACTTATTAGAGCAAATAAATTTTTGAATTACTGACCTATAATTTGAAGTTCTGATTTTAAAGTAAAATAACTTTTTTATTATGTACATAAAATGATAAATCTAGAATGAAAATTGAAAAAAATGCAAAAAAAATCATTTTCCAAACTTATACTTTGATTTATAATTTATATTTTTTGTATTTTTAATTAATTTAATTTTTCTAATTTATATTCTTGTGAACTAATAATAATATAGCAATAATAATTTTAAACAATTTTTAATGTAACATTTTTTAATCAACTAGTTTTTGTTTAAGCATTTTTGTGAAAACAATTTTTAGAAATTACTTTTACAAGTTCATTTATAACAAATATATACAATTTATTTCTTTAGAAGATGTGAATATAGAAAATGATAAATTTCATAATATTAGCAGTATTTGCGAGATATTTAAGTATTCTTTACGATAAACGAATTCTCTAAGTAGAAAATACGTTTTTTCGAATGTCACACTTTTTCAGTTGTTAATTCTTTTTTCGCTTGATAGTTTTTATTGAAATTTAATTAATTTTTTTATTATTTAATTAATTTTTGCCAAAACACGGAGGCAGAATTAAAATCGAGTTCGTGTGCAATAATTTTTAACTTTGAATATAATAGACAATTCAAACTCGATAACGTAACTGCACGAAAATAGTAAAACAAATAATAAGAAAAATTATTCTCAATCCATTTTATTCTTCTTCGTCTCCATTTTCATCGTCACTCGAATGTTGAATTGTTTCTTTTTCTTGAAACGATTTGTAATAGTCATGGTACTTAGGTGGTATAGTGTTTTTTTTACATAAAAATTTGAAGTCGTTGAGCTTAGCTTTGGGAATTCCTTGGTAATTCGAATAAGCTCTTCTAGGAATATACTTCTTTACATTCACGTTGACTTTTTCAATTCTTGTTACGAGTGTTTCAAATTCTCTGTCAAATGCGATTTTATACTGCAATTGGTTGTTCTTTTCTCTTGAAACTGACACTTCCTTGATTTTTGAAATCGGCACTTTAATTGTTTGTTTTCTATTATTTTTTATTAAACTTTTCGACCAATTCATTTGTGCTGACAAGTTTTTGAAATCATAAATCATGTCAAAAGTAACATTTACGACTTGATAATGCGGCTGTGATAATTTTGCTGTTCTGATTACGTCGCACCATTCTTCAAGAGTAAAAATTTTTTGACCTTTTGAATGTCTCTCAATTCTTGCATGGACCGAATCCCCTTCGTTCTGGGTATGGCCTACTTCCAAAAACGAATGTTTGATA